TGCTGCAGGACCACCTGCCAATTTATGACCCTTGACCCTCGCTATCTAGGAACTCGAGATAATTGATCACTTCACTTATCTTGGCAGCCGCATCAGCAAAGATGGGCGCATGGAAACTGACGGCAGCTCACGCATCACAAAGGCCAAAGCTGCCTTCTTGAACCTGCGGCATCTTTGGCGACAGAATGGAATTTCCCTACGTCTAAAAAACCGGGTATACAAGGCCACAGTGAGGGCCGTTCTGCTCTATGGTAGTGACACTTGGCCCCTTCGGTCTGAAGAGCTGAGGCCTCTTCAAGTCTTTGATCATCATTGTCTGCGAAGCATTGCTGGTGTCCGATGGCACCAGTGTGTCCGCAACGGTGATGTGGATAGGTGAGTGCTAGGTAGGGATAATCATGCTAGCTCCCTAGAACAACAGATAGCACTGAATAAGTTGCGTTGGCTTGGACACGTGCTACGTATACCTTGTCACCACTTACCTAGGAGGGCCTTGTTTAGTCTGCCAAGTGTAGGGTGGCGCAAGGCTCGTGGTGGACAGAAGTTGACTTGGCAGCGGGAAATGAAGTCACCGACGACCAAACTGGGTACGGTTGGCCCCTCTCACCTTCCGGGCTGGAGTCCACGTGACTCGTCTTGTGCTTGGCTCGAGACTTTACTGGACATCGTTTGCAACGTACACCAGTGGCTCGTCTGCTGCTGTCTCCTAATCGGATTGTCTGCTTAAATTGTGTTTGACGCTGAGTTATTTGTGGGGTAATGGCTGATTATGGCGCGGGGCAGTGAAAGCCGTAACGAAGTTGCCTCGCCGATGCCGCTTTAGCTTTGGACGATAACCAGTTGGTTATGACAGTATGTTGTCTACACAAGGTGTATGCGCCTTGACCCTGAATGTTTGTTTAGGAGATTGAGGTTTTCCATTCTCTCCCTCTTATTATTCTTTATTCCATAGGTAACCATGATTGTATGGCAGCGAGGCATCAGTTCACATGGCTGATGTACTGTTGTTGTTGCTGCTGCTGCTGCTGTTGTTGTTGTTGTTATTGTTGTTTATAAATTAACTTGCCTGTCGTGCCACGCAGGATTGTTGACCCACCGAAAATCGTCCGTATGATGCACAATTTTTACTCACTTGACACGCATGAACATTTTTCGTCCGACACTCTATTTATGTTTGATAGATTCATTACATATAAATCCTTACTAACATGGGTACTGGAAAGGCATCCGTCTGATTGCCTAAGTACTATTTTTTGACGAGCTAACTTGGATATGTCCGTCCACTGCTTGCAGCACCATGCATCTCACTGGACCACTTTCACCGTTGTCTAGACGGGAACCTAGTTCCATCAAATTGAAAACGTGGTGTTATCATACCTATTCACGAGCGAGGCAGCCGTCCTGAGCTTGTCAAATACCGCCCGTTAACTCTTCTGCCTGTACTTCCTAAGTTCATCGAAACGATCATTGCGGACACACTGATAAATGATTTAGAAAGCTAAGGCAGCACGGGCTTCGTCAACATCGATCATGCACCACGAGCTCGATGAAAATACGCAATAGGTGGACCTAAGCGGGAGACGAGTTGACAGGAACTGATGATGTTTTTTCAAAAGCGTTAGATCGCTTGTATCTTTTTGTCCTGCTTCACGAACTTCAGCACTACGACATCGGAGATCCGGTATTTGTATGGACCGGTAACTTTCTGCACAATCGGCGACGGGAGCTTAGATTCCGAACTTCTCTGTCCGACCCGTATCAAATGGAGTGCGGTGTACCACATGGTTCCGTACTTGGACCTCGCTTCTACGTAGCTTTCATTAACGATCTAGCGGGGATTAGCACCTCTTCACGGACGACCTTAAGGTATGGCGGACGATCAAGGGGATAAATTTATTTTGTGCATCACAATTAGAGTACACGCCGCATAGGTGAGCACCAGATGATTGTTTCCTCCGCAGTGGTGCGCATTCCCTCGATCCCCTCTGGTGATCCAATCCATGATCGCCGGTAGCGTGCAACTCACGCCACTGAGCCATGGAAGGAAATAGACAACCGTCACGGATTGAAATTTAACTGCGATATAGCCCAACCTATCTTCCACTGCCATGCAGGCTTCTCTCAGTGCAGAGGACAGTGGTTGGCTGTCCGGGATAGGACTTCCCTTACAAGTGCTGTGAATGCACACAGTAGTGTAGCAACCACTTTTGCCGCCCAGGGCGGTGGTAAACTTTTGCCCTGACTGAGAGTAGTATAGACAAGTGTAGGCCATACAACTGCCTCAGGGTTAAGTGCACATTAGATGTCTATGCACTTGATGCGCCTTTGGGACACTGAGGTAAATGTGGTGAAAGTGACCCCATTGGGACAAGTAGAGGGATCAGTGGGAAGAAGGTTAGAGTAGATTTGACATTTCAAAACGTCCCATTGGACGATTAAAAACCGATGTAAATGGACATATGTTTTCTACTGGCCGAACGAGGAGGCGCCTGTTTGACAGAGTGATGGAGCACCACTGGACTGGCTCCTGACTGCTGTTCGAAAACCAACCGATCCATCCGTAGCCACGCGTCTCGTCGTCAATGGCCATGCCACCAATTTGGCTGTCATTCAAAGGGATCTATCAGGCACCAGACAATCGATCGAAGTGCGTCCGTAGGCGTTTGTTTGAATTCACTGTGGCCATCGGGATTGGACTGTAGGAGCCGGAGTTGTGTGATCAGAAAAGGTTTGTTTTAGACGTTAAAACTGCCTTGGCCTACCCAAACTGCGACATTCGGCTCACAGAATTGTGTTCGCCGCACATTTAACCTAACGGATAGTGATTGTGCTTGATCAGTGATTGAGCACCGAACTTACCTCACCAACCCTTATGTTGTGTCAAATATGTTGTTTGTTTCCCCATTTACTTGTACAAGCCTGAAGTGGCATTATTGAAAACATACGTTTGATTGTATCCGCTTTTAATCATACACAGTAACATGAAAATATGCAACCCTCAGCTTATCTGGCAAAGTTCTCCTTTATATTTGGTATCGAACAATACTAAAAATGCCGCGCCCTGTCACGTGCCAGCCTGAGCGGACCTATCCCGCCCGCCCCCTTGCTACGCTACTGCGTCCACGATATCCTCCAGCACGACCTTGATGAGGCCTGAAATGTGCTTGTGATGTACGCACTGCCATTAAATATGGACAACTGCATCGTTGTCCACATCTGCCCACATCCACAGGTTTGGGACGCACGATCGGAAGCCTACCACTCAGAAATGGAATATCAGTGTGCTGGTAAAGTACGACCTCGCTTGTCGCAGAGAGTCAGAGTCCGCTTCGAAAAGAGGTAACCAGCATGTTAATCTCTTGCGAAAGGCATTCGGGAGTTTGGATTCATCCATCTTCATCATAATGCCCATTGCCTACGTGCGTCCCCACGTGCACTAAGGTATAGAGTCTTGGGAATGTTGGCTAAAGGATGACCTCGCAGAGTTCTACACTCCTCAACGTCGAGCAACGAAAACCTTTGGCAAGTGTTTGCGCCACCATCCGTACCAGGAAAGACTGAAGATACTCGGAGTTTTAGTGGCCGCCACCGGCGGCTGGGTGCAGGCCTCATAAAACCAAACCAAATATTGGACACCACTATTCACGTATTCAGCCACCGTTTAAAACCCAATCCGAATGTTCATTTCACAGGCTTGAAACAATCAACAATACACTCGTCTCATTTGTCGACGAAATTACTTCTGATGTCGTCTCCGGGAATTATTTCTCAATAGAAATTAGTTGCCCCTCCGGGTCTGGAACACCCTTCCAAACTCAGCTATTCACAACCGCACATTAGCAAATCTTAAAAAACTTTTGGATATTGTATTGATCTCCTTACACTATATCCCATAAACGGATATTCTGGATATATTCAAGCTAACTATTCCCTTTGGAATTATAACCCACAATGATATACGTTAATCTACGCAGACTGGTGAGAAATCCGATTGTAATTTGCTATTAGCATTAACCAGAACAACTTGTTAATCCGTTTTGCACGGTGGCATCTAACACTAACAAGCGTATTATTTTTATACTAGTACTCTATTGACCCACCAATGGACTTAAGTAAGATTTGAACTTTCGATTTTTTCTATTACCAACCCACAGGGCATGTTAAGCCTATGCCAGTTTACCTATCATATAACATTGTTTCATTGTACTTTTTGCCCCCATAAACTATGCGCATTTTCCTCGACTTAGTGAAAACCGAGTACAATGTCCATTACTCATGTGGATCAGTGGTTAGTATAGCAGGGTACCGATGCAAAGTAGCGGTTATCTAACGAACTGGCCGCTTTCTAAATAGCATAGTTCATACAGAATCGCGGTTATCGTTACCGAGTGATGGAGTCGGACATAGTGAATTCGCAGTTCCCGTGCCTAGCCTCATCTTAATTCTAAGTCAATATACTCAACCTGGCATTCCTATTATCTTAAAAGAATAAACGATTTTACGGAAATTCATTACCTGTTGACAAATGCAGGATGCCGCGACATGTGCGCCAATGCAGTGAGCGGTCATCTCTTTTTGCGTTTATCGGCAGAAAGATGATATTAATGTCTTCGGGAAAACCTGGCTTCGTAGATCCTAGTGCATTTGGCAACTCAATGCAGTTGTAGATTGGGAATAGCTGACTATTTATGAACAGTCTTTGCTTTGGCTTTTACGAGGTATCTTAACCATCTTGTCCTAAGGATTTCTGAAGCTTCTTTTTCAATGTTAATTCCAACTAACAACAGATACCTGTGGTACCTTTATGCTCCAATCTCGAACGGATTTGCCACTGTCTTTCGTACCACCGTGTGAAATATCATCATGTTTCCTAAAATGCATATATCTATCTATAATCTGCAAGTATTACCATTTCGCAGGTATTGATTTTACTCGAACATGCTGCATACTAGAAAACAATATTATGCAAGTAATGAAACATGTTAATATTTCTTTATCAGGACTTCTCTTCACAAGTGATTCGAGTCGAGTCAACTCCACGGCAGTGCTTCGATCAACCAACAAAACTGGAGTACGAGATGCTCAAGGTTGTTCCACCGTCACGCTCCAGCTAAATGTCAACTTTTACGATTTGACCCGTATAATCATGCTTTTTATTGAGTAGTATCCACAAAGGAAATGTTCTGTGAAAAATCAAGACATACTCTGCCTATGCGTCTTGAGTCGTGATTTTTCTATCCATAAGTAAATGCAACAATTTTGCCTTCAAATATAATCCTTCCTAATGCGTGAATGTGATTAATCTTCTCAGAGTGTTACCAATGCCGATTGTCTTAGTCCCTGTTGGAATTACGGAACGAGGATGCAAAAGTTGGCCGACGAGCCACACAAACCAAACGGAACCATTGTGCAATTACAAGACTTAAATCTCCCTTAGAGTTGAAACTTTATGCACGGAGTAGAACGTTACTTTCTCTTCCCCTTTCGATGGTACGAGTTAGCCCTTTGAAAGTAGCATTCCCTGATGGAGAGCTGAACGATCTCGGCAGTTCTGATATCAAGGTGACCAATCATGGTGAACTTGACACTTCAAGGAAGTTTTGACAATTTCGGTCATTACAAATTACTATCTAACTTAGGTTATGTGAATGTACATTATTCCTTAAAATCACCTTTTTGTCTGGCATCGTGCTAGCAAAGCGGTAATTACGAAACCACCGAGTTCTGATTCGGTTCTGCGTTCGTGAACTTCACGACAATGATCAAAGGTTGTAGAGGACAAAGCAGTTGGTTCTACTGTTCGCGTGGTTACCGATAAACCCTTTCGAGATACCTTGTTAACAGGACTATCAGTGAGGTCAGTATCTGCTCGGTAATAAAGTACAGGCATGGCGTACCTGGGTATGCACACAGAATTCTCGCGTCCGCAGGACGCAAATGTTTGATAGTACTTGGGAAATATCATACAACTGTATTGGCGCTGAACGTAAGAAAGTGTCATAACTTATGCGGAAGATTGAAGTAGTTTGCATAATCCATTTCTTAAAACGTCCTCTTTGGGTTTTGACTACCCTAGTCGGAACGGACGAACTCTTCTCTCGTTGTTTTCCACGCACAGCATAGACTAGACAATTCGTATTGGAATGACTAGTGGACTTAGCCGGTAGACGTGAACTCATAACTGATAAGGCAGACGGAACACGTCAAGGTCGCATGACTGTACCGAGACGCGCAGAAAGATGACTGACCAGTAGCAATAGTGCTTTACTGACTCAACCAAAGCAGCCATGCTTTCTACACCTTCATATTTATAGCTCATTAAAACAGCGGTAATTGTATGCACTATAAGGGCAGGTGCATGTTTGCTGGCACATGAGTTACCATGTAATGGTCATAGCTCCGGGCAGAAATGTGGTGGGTTCAAGGCTGCTGAGCCCTTGGGCTCATCATAGTCGCTGAATGCGCTCGTTGGCTAAGGCATTGGCATGAACACGGCAGACTGTTCACTTGGGGAGAGTCCGGGAGATACGATAGTGAGAATGGGGAGAGTTCATTGGAAACTATGCGGGATTCGTTGGCCGCCTTCTCAGTGAGGACAACTCTGTTGTGATCTGTGCAAACGAGTGGGCCATTGGCGGCAATTTACGTATGCTTAGCTCCGCTTTGAACTCATTTGTTTGGATCTCTGCATAGGGACCGTGTTGTTAGAGTCCGCAGTGTACTAGCTCCTGTGAAACCCCGGTGAGTTATACTGGGCTGTGCCTGTCCTGTAACATCTCCCCTTGAATATAGACGGTCCCGTATATGATGAAGTTCTAATGCAGCTTTGTTGGATATCTGCGAATGCATTCTGTTCGAGGATTGGGACTGTCGGGTTTCAGAGTCGGTTGGGTAGATGTTCCTGGTTCCAGTTTTTTCTCCGCTAATTCGAATGTGTCCAACAATATGTGAAGTGGCGACTGTGTGGACAACTGGTCCTCTGTAGTAACCATATCGTGCTGTGGTCCGAATTGGCTCCGGTGAAGAACCCATGTGTCACCGGACAGAGCGACATCATTTAACGCACTGCTACGGTTGGCCATCACTGTTGCTTAGGGCCAACTTTTGTAGCCATCACGGTAATCGCGTGCGTAGACAAGTTCTCGAACGGCGAAACGATTGCAGTTTCCGGACACAGCAGCTTGTATTGGTGGCTCAAAACGCTTGACTCCCGCTTCGACCAAGGGTAAGGCTGCATGCAGAACGGGCCGTTTCAGACGGAAAACATGTTGAGCCTCGTGTGTGAGCTGTAATACTTGGGTGAATTGTCTGTTAATCTCGTCGGTTTAGTCCGTCGCTGTTGTGTGTGTTTGTGCCGCGGCACAGGGTAGATTGTCCAAGCCCACTTTTTCGAACCAATCGATACTATTGTAAGTAAAAACACGGAAACGCAACAGACACATCTTTAACGTGTACACACAACCAAGTCACTGGTTTGCTTGATAACATGAATATTTATTTACACACATGAGTCACATGCATGGCCAGCCTGACCGTGGATCGTGATAACCAATCGCAAAAGTCATCCACCTCTAGGTTAAGAGTATCCCTATAACAACAAATAGCACTGAATAAGTTGCGTTGGCTCGGGCACGTGCTACGCATGCCTGGTCACCGCTTACCTAGAAGGGCCTTGTTCAGTCTACCAGGTGTAGGATGGCGCAAGGCTCGAGGTGGAGAGAAGTTGCCTTGGCAGCGGGAAATGAAGTCACTGACAACCAAACTGGGTGCCGTTGGTCCGTCTCGCCTTCCGGGTTGGAGTCCACGTGACTCACCTAGTGCTTGGCTCGAGACTTTACAGGACATGGCTCTCAGTAGACATCAGTGGCGCGTCTGCTGCCGTCTTCTAATCGGATTGTCTGTTTAAAGTATGTTTGATGCTGAGTTATCTGTGGTAATGGCTGATTATGACGCGTGGCAGTGAAAGCCGCAAGGAAGCTGTCTCGCCGATGCCGTTTTATCTTTGCACCATAGCCAGCTTGTTGTGACGTAATGTTGTCTACACAAGGTGTAGGCGCCTTGGCCCAGGATGTTTGCTTAGGGCATTAAGGTTCTCAGGTAAGTTCCCCTTTCTCTCCCTCTTCTTATGCTTTATTTCATAGGTCCTCATGATTGTATGGCAGCGCAACATCAGTTCAAATATCTGATGTACTGCTGTTGATGATGATGATGATGAGGTTAAGAGTATCTAGCTTGATAGTGTTCAACGCTGCGCTTCTGAAGAGACGATCCTTATTGCTGTGTAGGTTTCTCAGCGTGGTCTTTATTTGGCACTCTTCTGGTGCTATTCTCAAAGGTGCAGGCGATAGGCGCTTTACTTGTTCCTATATGGGACTCACAGTCTGTCGTCGCACTTGGTCCAACTGACGTTGAAGTATTCACTCATTTTCCAATTCCGTTTTAACTGCACTACCTCTTGTCCATCCCGTAATCCCACGGTTCCAGATTCTATTCATCGGCCTCAGTTTAACATACACTCTGTCGGTTGCCTCAACCAAACGATCCTTCGTTTTCATGTCGTAGCTTTGCTTCATCACCGACTGGCGTTTGCCGACCGTTCGATGCAGATTGGGTTTAATCAGATTCACCCGAGTGCGCAGATTTTATCCCATCAGAAGTTCACAGTGGATGATCCGTGCTAGTATGTAGAGTAAAGCGACATTGTAATGGAAATTTGTCCAGGCGGGTTTGTAAAGTTCCGGACTATTGTTTGGGAGCATCCTGTGTGATTGTCGCAACCGCCCTTTACCAGACTATTGGACGAAAGGTGATAGAGTGCCTAGAGAATATGCTCGATTCCATATTGACATATGAATTGTGCGAACTCGTCGCTGGTAAATGTCAGGCCGTTATCCGAAACACTAGCATATGTTACACCATGAGCAGGAAATATATACCTTAATCAGTCAGTGTGGTCCACCCAGTCATGTAAACAGTTGACAGAGGTATGAACTATAAAAAGAGTGCGTCCAATACAAAAAGAACCGTGTAGCCGTCGAAGGGTCCGCGAGGAAATCCAGACCCAGTGGCTACTATGCGGAGATATGGCGATTTTCGTTGATCGTGTTCTCCCAATACTACGAGCTGGCTTACTCTGTGTCACATGGCCGATGGGGATAGTTGTCCACTGCATAACTTCCGAAGTAGGACTTGTCAGGACTGCGGTTGGTAAAACAAAGAATGAGTAAAGCACAAGAGCTGTTGGAAACCTTCGTGTTTTGAAAGGAAACGACATGGATGAGGATGTAGTCCCGACTGTTGGCTCCCCGTAGGTGGAAGGCGAGTCTTCGATCTGCTGCTCCAGGGAGAACCACTGTGAGCCCAACAGCCGGTGGGAGATCGCAGGCGTACCGGTGTAAGTACCTCTATCACCCAGCATGAATGCAGCCGGGGTTGGACGGTCCAGAGTAGAAATCTTCAACAGCCTTGATGGCAAAGCCGGATCGGATTTTGGTGGGCAGTGTAGACCGAAGTTGCGACCACCCAAGTCTCACCCCTGTCGAAGATCTACTTTTATGTTGGTCAGTCTCACCACCCGGCATGGAGCATTCGTGTACCTGTCCTCTTGTCCATTTTCTGTTCCAAAGCTACATACCATGACTCCCTTACTGTGTGACTTAGTGTCCGATTTCCAGTTCATCCACGTCCTACCTCGTTTTCACTCCTATGCACAAGTACCCCTATTGATATTGACTGTTCCAATTCATTTGATCGATTTGTGTGAAGCTCACCTGTTGTACAGCTAGGTAGACCAGACCTTACCGTAGCGCGTCTTCATTGGCGGACGCATACCATTGGCTCATTTCCATTCTTACCATAAGCCCGGTGTCTTTCACTTTGATTCCATTGTTTGTTTCACACGCCTGAACTCAGGGGTCGCTCGTGGATCTGAGCGCGACTTGTCTTAGCTTTGAGGTTGGAAAATGTCAAGGTAATGTCTATTTTGATACGACGAATTCGTACAAATAGCACCGTTATCTCAGATCCGGACTTAGTCTTTTGTTGAATGTTCCGGTGGAACACGCGTATCTTAAAATTTACAAAGCTTTTTATCGTTACAGGTATATATAGATGTATATTTACTATTTTGACTATGAAGTTGTCAATTTGGAATCCATTTTGTAATTTTTTAAGCACTGAACAAATCGCAGTGTAAACAGTAATTAGCAATTGGCTAGCATGAAATGATGAGTATGACTACTAAACCATGTTCAGACCAAATTGTAATCATGCTCATGCAACCGATTTGCAT